AAATACATACAGAAAGGGCTTGCCCTTTTATTCTGCCAGAATTTTTTTTAAAAAAAAAAAAACAACAACCTCCACTGTCTAATTTATAGCCCTGCAAAGCCTCAAATTCAGCAGCGAGATCTCCGCTGTTTCTCTCTTTGTAATACAAATTTCACGCTTACAAAGGCAAGAGGATAACAAGGGGGTGGGGGGGGAAGGATTTTGGGGCGTGAAAGGAAAATTCTGTAAGATGCAAAATTGTAGGGCAATGCTGGAGAAAAAAAAACAAAAACCCGCAAGAGCTTGGATCCATCTGTTGTAACCCTCCTGCAACAACTCTGCTAAATAAAGATCTCCCCAACCCCCTGGCTGTTTTGCTAAGCATGGGACCCCCCCCCCCCCCCCAACCCCCGCTTCCTCCACAATGACAAAGGGAGCTGCCACGTTTGAGACACACACACTCTCTCTCTCTCTCACACACACACATATCCCTCTCCCGCAACTCGCCGAGACTGTGTGAGGTGTGTTTATCCTGAGGAAAAGCAGTTGGCGGCATGTGACTTGCATCAAAACGAACGGCTACTTTGTCGGTAGAATGAAAAGGAATGTCTATGTCAGTCTTTTGTAGCTCTACATTTGTGATCTTCACACACACACACACACACACACACACACACACACACACACATATAAGTTCTCCAGAAGATTTCATATGGATAAAACTAGACGGGCCTCTCTTTGGGTCAGCCATGACAAACTCTAACATCCAACCACAAAGGAAGGTTATTCCATCGTACTTATGCGCTCATACGAAACACATGGAATAAAACGATCGGAAAGTGACCTTGGAGGTCTTCTAGTCCAACCCCTTGCTCTGGCAGGAGACCCTAGACCAGTGGTGGCTAGCCTTTTTCAGCTCCTGTGTCGATAATTGTGCGGGCGTTCGTGAGCTCTTGCTCACTGCCAGCATTCAGAAGGCAATGTGTGCTGCCTCCCCATGCCCCCCCCTGCGCATGCGCATGTGATTTCCCCGCCGCACGCCATGAGTCTGTGCATGCGCACACGATCACCCCCTCTGTGTGCTGCGCATCTCTGTGTAAGGCATGCAGAAAGTATCCATGATATCAATCACACCGAGACATTTTCTCTCCAATTGATTTATTTAGAAACAGATCTGGTATGTCTAAGGCAATTTCCCAAAGTGAAAGTATTTTTGCGCCGTTACGCAGAATCCACCTTCTCTCCTCCCTTCTCTCCTCCCACTTCTACACTTCATAAATCAAGAGAACCAATTAACTGCAACTGGAATTTCTTAATACGACATACAGAATAACCTTGAACTTTTTAACTCCTCCACCCCCCCTTTCATGAAATGTGGCAGCTGAATTTTAAAAGCTGACACTCTGCACACGCGCACACAATTCCCCTGCGTGCTGCGCATCACTGTGCATGCGTGCACATCTCCGCGCATCCCCCGCCCACCACGCATGCGCGCCAGATATCTGACAATCAGCTGTCGGGCGGTGGCGGTGTGTACGCATGCACAGTGGGGCTCTTCCAGGCGAGCTCTCGTGTGCCAGAAGAAGTGGCTCTGCATGCCACTTCTGGCATGCATGCCATAGGTTCGCCACCACGGCCCTATACCATTCCAGCTTTTTGGCTGCCCCTGTTCAAATCAACAAGGTGTGTGCTTGGGAGAATTCAGGAATAAGCCCACAATGGTGCAAAGAAAAGGGAGATGAATTTTAAGAAGGGAATGAGAGTTAGTACATTGAAAATATATCTGCTGAACAAAACTCCGCATTGGTAACAGGAAAGGCATCCGGCCATTAAAACACTCTGCTAGCTCCATTCAATTGCCCAGACTCTACCCTGCATGGGATTATGGGGTCATTAAAAGAAGATAATGATGAGTTAGAGTTAGTACAACTAATCTTTGCGCAATTCCTTGCTCTAAGCTACCATGTGGCTTGCATACATCCTATCTCATGGCTTCTAAACCAAGATTTCTGATGTAGCACTGTTTGCCAACTAAAGCTTGCTTAGCAAATCCTAGTTAGAGCAAATTCACAGAGAAGCCATTTCTGCTCTTCATTTTTCCCTACATTAAGGGGAGTGCTGATCACTGTATGCTGTGTTAAGCTTTTTGAAGGAATGCTACTACAGTATTATCAATATTTTACATTCAGTTATTAGTAATAATCGCTGATGGAGAAGAGTAATGACTTAATAGAATGAATTGCCTAGATCAGGGGTGTCCAACCTTGGCAACTTTAAGCCTGGGGAATTCTGGGAGTTGAAGTCCTCCAGGCTTAAAGTTGCCAAGGTTGGACACCCCTGGCCTAGATTATGGGAGATGGAGCAGTGACCTTACAAAAATAGAGAGTATTTCCTAATGAACATTTTTCTAAAGGCATCTTTCTAAAGCCCAGGACCGAAAGCATGTTTTTCTCAGTTAGAAAACTGGAAACCCTCCTTATTTTTGCAAGCAAACAATATGAACGAGAATATGAACAAAGGGATTATTCCCATTATTCATAGTTATTATCAACAGTTCAAGGACTCAGGAATTTGCCAGCAGGAAATGTTATATTTGCTATAAAATGTTCAAATGATCACATTTCATCCTCTGATTTGACTGAATATGGAAGAACCCAAAGGGATACATGTAAACAGAGCTCAAACCACCACCAATCTGGGATCTGAATATCCAACATAACGTAATAAACTCTTCAGGTTCCAAGCTTAATAAAAAGCTACTGTCTGTTTATCAGTTTTCCAGCCCTAAAGGGCAAACAGTTTGCTTTTGACTTTTCTTATATTTATTATTAATAGAAACTGCAATTTTCAGCAAACGGCATTTCATACTTCTGCAAGGACATTCCTGAAGCTAAGTCCATCTGGTTACCTAGCTTTCTTTCATGGAGAGCATCCAGGCTGGAATTCAAGTTTCTTAACAACTGGTTCTGTGGGCGTGGCCTAATTTGTGGGTGTAGCTTGATCACATGACTGGCTGGGCATGACTTGTATGTAAATATTGATGTAAATATTGATTTTTTAAAAATTTTTAAAAAGCCAACTTTTACCCAAAATCAGGCAAAGCAGGCAGGCAGATTGAGTTGCTCACAGAATCACAGTTTCACTCAGAGATCTATCTTTCTGCAATCTGCTGCCTGAGTCTGCACTGAAAAATAGAAGCTTCAGTCCTAAGGAAGGTTCATCTCTGCTTTTAGATTAGCTAGAAAGCAAGAAATCCAATGATTTCCTGCTTTCTAGCTAATCTAAATCTCCCAGCACAGCTGATAGTCAGAACAGCTGATGGTCGGGGGGGGGAAGGAAAAATAGCAACTTACCAAAAATTAGGCAAAGACACAAAGCAGGCAAGTTGGATGGCGCATGCCAGGTAAGGAGTGAGTGGGAGGGGAGGGGCCAGTGGCGCAATTTGCCGGTTCTCCAAACTGCGCAGAATCGTAACAACCGATTCTATAGAACTGGTCCGACCAGGTAGAATCCCATACGAGAGCATCCACAGTGAAATATGGTAAAAAACAACAACAACCCAGATCTATGCTCAGCTCAAATTACCAGAAGGTTGAACTAATATGATGAACACACAGCTTTGTCCCTATTAGACCATGCACAGAGCCAAATGATGAGCCACAGGGGGAAAAAAAAATACTAGCAAGAGAAACAGGATGCACTGTGCATTTTTAGCAAAGGAAGGAAAAGTAAGGCTCAGCAGTGGTTTACCTTGGGACCCGACTTCCAGATCCAGATCCAAATCCAGCTCTTCCAACTCTTTCCCCAAGGAGTGGATCGGCGTCTCTGCCTCAGGAGTCCCAAAATTGCCTTCCGAATCCGAACTGCCAAAGGAGGAAGGAGAGGATGAAAAAAAAAACAACCCCATTATTTCCTCCAATCAAATAAGCGACTTTTCAAGCTTGTTATCAAGAACTGTTTTGCAAGAAGAGTTCAAAAAATGCACACATACTTATGATTCATATAAAAAAAATGATACAAGGTTTGATTGCAGTTGTGGACATCATGTTATGCCTTCCTCCAATGACACTGCCATTCAGGTGTTGCTTACCTGTCCCCAGGGGTGGGCTTCAAATTTTTTAGCAAGGGGCTCTCTGCCCTAATGACTAGCTGGGTGGGCATGGCTGGGTGGGCGTGGCTAGATGGGCATGTGACTGGGTGCATGTGGGCAACTAGAAGTTGCTTCTTTGCCCTAATTACCAAAAAAAAGATATGTACCAAAAAGTTTTGTTTAATTATTTTGTGCATTTAATACTTACATAAAAGACTGGGTGAAACTAGGATTAATAGTAGTGACTGTGAGTGGGATCTTGGAGTCTTCATGGAGTTTCTGGTGAGTTACATGATTCTTATTATTTGGGAATTAATCCCCTCGGAGGTAGTGGTTATGTTATCTGATTTTCTCAATGCCTCTGCCTCCCAAGTGCTGAGTGGATTGTTTATCTAGCTTGCAACACTTTTACGAGGTGTGAAATGCTCTTGGCTGAACACCCAGAAGTTCAATTAAGCTTACTAAGAGCTTTCCCTTGCTGCTTGTCTTTCTGAGGTTATTGGGGGGAGGGCTCTCTGAGCCCCACAGAGTCTTAGCTAGGGGCTCTCTTGAGCCCCTGCAAGCCCCCAGCAGCCCACCCCTGCCTGTCCCATTTTTTTTTCTGGGAACCCTTTTTTAAACAGAGCACTGAGCTGGAGTGAACTTTTAAAATGCCCCTGAGATATTAACATGGTTTCCCTGGCATTTGTAGGAAATTCGGACAATGCTGAGGATGGGTGTTTTGCTCCAGAACACACATACGTCTTTCTATTGGTTTTTATTTTAAATAATCTAAAAAAACCAAAACATGGGCAGGTTGGAAACAAGGGAACTATCAGGCACTTGGTTTCTCTCTGGCACTGTGTTGGAGAACAGGGAACTAAACCTTCTAAGAGCAACCAAGATGATTAGGGGACTGGAGGCTAAAACATCTGAAGAACGGTTGCAGGAACTGGGCCTGGCTAGTCTAGTGAAGAGAAGGACCAGGGGAGACATGATAGCAGTCTTCCAATATTTGAGGGGCTGCCACAGAGAGGAAGGGGTCTCAAGCTATTTCCTAAGGCACCCAAAGGCCAGATAAGGAATAATGGATGGAAACTGAACAAGGAGAGATTCAACCTGGAAATAAGGAGACAAGTTTCTGACAGTGAGAACAATCAACCCATACATAGAACAGAAGTTGCCTTCGGAAGTTGTGGGAGCGTCATCGCTGGAAGTTGTCAAGAAGAGACTTGACTGCCATCTGTCAGAAATGGTGTAGGGTCTCCTGCTTTTGGGGGGGGGGGTTGGACTAGATGACCTACAAGGTCCCTTCCAACTCTTAATCTGTTAAAGGGTGTGAGCAAACATGAATTTGCGGCTTTTTATATTTTGCCTGTTTGAGCATCAGAATTTTAGCAGCATTTCCTTCTCTGTTGTTGTTCCAAGGAAGTTGTTTTGGCTCCTTCAGAAAGCTAATTTTCTCAGGACCACAGCCACAAAAAGCAATTAAATTCTCCCCTCCAGTGCATGCTGCATCCAATTATTAACCATCCTCCCTGTGGATGCTATTGGAAACTTTGAACTTCATTTGTAATAGGTCACCAGAAGCATGTTACACTGGCTACTAATTAATTCCCGGGTGCAATTCAAAAGGCCACTATGAACCATTACAGCCTAGTCAGACTTGGCATGAGCTATACACAGAACCACATTCTTCTACTTGAATCAAGACAACCAACTTAATTGTCCCAGGAGAAACTATGGGAGGTATCCCACTTCTAAGAAGCTAGGGCAGAGGTCTCCAAACTTGGCCAGTTTAACACTTGTGGACTTCAACTCCCAGAATTCCTGAGCTAACATGACTGGAGGAGGAATTCTGGGAGTTGAAGTCCACAAGTCTTAAAGTTGGCCAAATTTTGGGACCCCTGAGCTGGGAGGTCAAAGCAAGGAGGTGTGTCTTCTCTGGGACAAAATCTGTTCTTTGCTCAGCTGAGATCAAAATGCCACCCTAATTTTTTTATTTTCTTATTTATTTGGAGAGATGCCGAAGATGGGAGTTCTCCACCACTATAGTGATAGGAGCGCTTGCCATCTGGGTTTCATTTTGACGCTGGTTTGGGGTTTCAGTTTTGAACTTTTATTTATATCTACTGTGGATATTCTAAAGTATATTACATTTGCTAGCTATCAGGAAGTCCTAGAAGATTCCACTGAGCTGCAAGATAAATAAACTCCCCCACCCAAAGGCCCAGGTTTTGTTTGTACTCTGAATTCAGTTTTCCACCTAGTTAGGGGTTTTCCACACCCAGACCATTCACGAACATGCTATTCCAATGGACAGGGCTTAAGCCACGTCCTCCTTTCTTTCCACCCACATCATCCTTCAGACACGCTCTGTAAACACCTCCCCTATTTATGGTGCATTCTTCAGCTGCTGCGAGTATCAAAAGATCAGAGAAGAGGCTCATCTAGAGCAGAGGTCTGCAACCTTAAATACTCAAAGAGCCATTTGGACGCATTTCCCACAGGAAAAAAAAACACACCGGGAGCCACAAAACCTGGCTGGGCATGGCCAACTCGATGTCACTCACTCCCACCAACAAGGGCCGGAAGAAGCTCCAGCAAGTGAGGCCCCGGCTGTTTCTCCATCCCCTTGCCATCACCCTTACCTTCTCAGGCCAGGTGAGGAAGGGGAGGGCGAGGGGCCAGCCAGTGATGGGAGAGGGAGCCTCAGCAGAAGGCCCAAAGAGCCCCATGCGGCTCTGGAGCTGTGGGTTGCCGACACCTGATCTAGGGGGCTTCCCTGCCCACTGTCATCCATTGCTGGGTGACAGATCTCTCTTCTTTGAATCACTCTGCACAGGTATTATGTCAAATATAAACCATGTTGTTTTAAAGGACAGGCTGGCGATTGTGCTTTGAAAAGCGGACCAAGCCCAGGCAACACTTCAATTTGACTTCATTTAAACAGCATTCCAAGCAAATTAAAATAGTTTTAATACAGTTTTTTAAATGGACGGAAGCAATTTGTCGAGCCCAGCCCAAGAACAATATGAAACAATCCAGTTACAGGGAGTCCTCAACGTAACAACAATTCATTTCATGTCCCTTCAAAGTTACAACGGTGCTGGGGGGGAAAGGGATTAATGACCGTTTTTCACACTTATGACCATTGCAGCGTCCCCATGGTCACGTGATCAAAATTTGGATGCTTGGCAACTGACTCAGATTTATGATGATTGCAGTGTTGACAAGCCAAGTCAACGAGGAAGCCTGATTCATTTAACAACCGTGTCACTAACTTAATGTCTGTACCGATTCACTTAACAACCAGGGCAAGGAAGGTTGTAAAATGGGGCAAAATCCACTTAATGAGTTTCTCACTTAGTGGTGGTAAGTCGAGGACTATCCCAACTATCAATCGGATGACTTTCTACCCGTAGACGAGCGTTTTATGGAATCACGGTATCTTTGGGCTATCATGTCCAACCACCTGCTCCATGTAAGAATCCACATGTCTTGAATAGATTGTTCTTCTACTTCTCACGTGGCTACTTGGTGAAGAATGATCTCAAGACTGCAATCACACCCTTCGGACAGCTGCCCTCATCTAAACGCTTTCCCCTGTGGCATAACTCTAGATGAAGGGTCTTCAAACTTGGCAAGGTTAAGACTTGTGGACTTCAACTCCCAGAATTCCTGAGCTAACATGACTGGAGGAGGAATTCTGGGAGTTGAAGTCCACAAGTCTTCAAGCTGTCAAGTTTGAAAATCCCTGCTCTAGAAGCCATCTTACTCTAGATCAGTGATCTCCAACCATAGCAACTTTAAGACTTGTGGGCTTCAACTACCAGAATTCCTTAGCTAGCTTTAGACCACTGCTCTAGATGACCAGAGATGGTAATGACCGATCACAGAATCAACTCTCTGCCCCCAAAATGACAATATTGAAAAGGCAAAAGTTTGGCTCTGGGAGTTGGCAAGTCCAATGAGCAGAGGGCACAGGAGGAAAAACAGCCACTCTCTCTAGAATTTACTTCTGGACTCAATTTAAGTGATTTCTCAATCCTTCCTAATACCTATCTCTTCCCACTCATGACTATAACTGTGTTGCTTTACAATTTATATTGTTTTGTTTCCTAATATGATTTAATTGCTTGTTAGTAACCTATGGCTGTCACTAAGTATTGTATCTTATGATTCTTGATGAATGTATTTTATTTTTTCTGTGTACAGAAAATGAATGTATTTTATTTTTTCTATGTACAGTGATAGTATATGAATAGAATAGAATAGAATAGAATAGAATAGCAAATGGAATAGAATTCTTTATTGGCCAAGTGTGATTGGACACACAAGGAATTTGTTTTGGTGTAAATACTCTCAGTGTACATAAAAAGAAAGGATACATTCTTCAAGAGTCAAGAATCATCAGGTACAACACTTAATGATAGTCATAGGGTACAATAAGCAATCAAAACATACTAGGAAACAGTCCGTATATATCGTAAGGATACAAGCGACACAGTTACAGTCATACAGTCACAAGTGGGAGGGGATGAGTGATAAGGAGTGATGAGAAGGTTAATAGTAAGAGTAGTGCAGACTTAGTAACTAGTTTGACAGTGGTGAGGGAATTATTTGTGTAGCAGAGTGATGGCGTTCGGGACAAAACTGTCCTTGTGTCTAGTTGTCTATAGCGTCTCTATAGCGTCATTTTGAGGGCAGGAGTTGAAACAGTTCATGTCCGGGATGTGAGGGGTCTGTAGATATTTTCACAGCCCTTTTTTTGGGACTCGTGCAGTATATAGG